ACAATCCGTGCGCTCAGAGAAAAAGACATAGTTACGGTTATATAGGTGACAACTGTATGAGTTTTGTACATTATTATAAATTAATATATATAATTTAATAGACTATTTTGTAGTTATTGCAATAAAAGTTGAATGGTTATAAGAATTATATACAGTGTGTCCCATAAGTTCGGCAACGGCAAGAAAACTCGGCGGGGGAGCATTTTAGAGAAAAATGTTTCGAATAAAAGTTGTAAGGCTTAAAAAGTCGCATTTAATGACAGTAGTTATTTGACCTAAGATGACGTCGCCAAGGTCAGGACAAGGTTAACTTTGCTTTTTTAAATAGAAATACATATATTTAAATAGAAATACATTTTTATTACGGGATTTTATTCTACGTAAAAAAGCAAACAACTTTTGTTTGAAAACATTTTTTATACGACTTCTATTTTCTAAGATATTTACGTAAATATCTACAAGATTATTGGTTTCAATAATTTTTTACTTGAATTCTATTAACTTTACCGAAAAATATTAAGAGATAAAAATTGCTTATTTTGTTTTCAAAAAACTCTGAGAATTTTTTTAGAATTTTGTGTTAACTTTTTAGTACTTCAAGAAAATGCAAGAAAATGCAGTAAAGTTGATAGAATTCAAGTAAAAAATTATTGAAACCAATAATTTTGTAGATATTTACGTAAATATCTTAGAAAATAGAGGTCGTATAAAAAATTTTTTCAAACAAAAGTTGTTTGCTTTTTCACGTACAATAAAATGCCGTAATAAAAAATATGTATTTCTATCTAAAAAAGCAAAGTTGACCTTGTCCTGACCTTAGCGACGTCATCTTAGGTCAAATAACTACTGTCATTAAATGTGACTTTTTAGGCCTTACAACTTTTATTCGAAACATTTTTCTCTAAAATGCTCCCCACCGAGTTTTCTTGCCGTTGCCGAACTTATGGGACACACTGTATATTGAGAGAAAAATATCTAAAAATAATCGAATTATCTAAAAAACAAGAAATATTCGATGAGTGTTAATATAAGGTGACCAGATTTCCCTGAATTCGGGACACTTCATAAATGTGTGAAACGGGAGGCGGGGGAAGGGGGATAAAAAGATCCGAAAATTATTTGACAATATATTGAAAATGATGACAAATCGGTATCCCGAATAGCTCGAAAAAATTCGGGACAAAGGGTGGAAAATTGGGATGTCTGGTCACTTTAGTTGTATGTGTTGAGAAGGGAGAAGATTACTCCGCAATAATGTATTTACGATATATCCTGACGACCGCACGTCGTTGTTTCGGCAATTCTAATACACCGTAAAAACTGATGTGTTAAATTTAACATATTTCATGTGTCTCAAATCATTCACTTTCATTTATGTGTAAATTTAACATAAAACAAATGTGTTAAAAAGTAATACGCATAATATGGAAAAAATTAACACGAGAATTTAACACTTGAATGCCGTCAGGAATCACAGGTTGTGTTAAATTGATATATTTAATTTGTCTCTTAGATTATGTCAATTTAACATTTTCATTTCATCAAAACCATAGATTAATACTTCTCTCAAATGTTAAAGTAACGTTTTATTTTAGTTAATTTAACATCATACATATTTCAAGTTAACACAAACAGTGATTCCTGACGGTATTCAAGTGTTAAATTTTTGTGCTAATTTTTTACATATTATTCGTGTTATTCTTTACCATATTTGTTTTGTGTTAAATTTATACATAAATGAGAGTGGATGATTTGGGCCACATGAAATGTTAAATTTAACACATCAGTTTTTACAATGTACTTATTTCCGCAGGAGACTCGCAAGACATAAGCAAAAGACATGGAACACAGAGCGTTGTGTCCATAGCAGTTGCTTGGCATGAAAAGATCGCAGACGCGTGCACTGTCAATCACGTACAAAAGTTCATTAGCGCGCCGAAAGTGCTGAAAGTGCATGGATGTGAACGCGCCAGTAATGCGAACGAAGTCGCGTCTACAACGACGCGATCTGTACGGCGGACGCCTTAATCACTTGCTCGAGTTACTAACCTCTCTAGACCAATCGCGTTCGTTTCGCAATACGAGGTTGTCATCGTGGTTATTCAATCTAGGCGTTGGTAATGAGTCGCGCGAAATGCTCGATCTTTTCGCGCCAAGCAGCAGCCATGGGCACACGTCGATTCACATCGCTCCGCGTTTCTCGCGTCTTTTATCCGTCGAAAGTGAGTCTCGCGCGTTAATAAGTCTCGGGAGTGTCGAGAATAGCGATGTGCGATCGCCGGGGCGTATCGTGAAGACGTCATTTGTAAGTAATCTTCTCGTTTCTCCTCGCGGTATATGCGGCCGGTGCTTGTCGCGACGTGTCGCGCCGACGTCCCTTACATTTGCTAATAACATCGACTCGCTCAAATAGCAATAGAATCGGGCGATTGTTGGATTTATTGAACGAGAATTAGAAATGCGATGACAATCAGAGAAAAAGAGAGAGAGATGCGGAATATTCGGATGATTACGTCAACTTGTTAGGAAAAGAGATACGGAGGGAGAAGTATCTTATAGAGCGCGTTCTTTTCGGCCGCGGCGCCGTTCATATATTGGCGTATATTTTCAGCGCGATTCTATAATCGCGCGGCCATCTTGATCCTCGATCTTTCTGCATCGAGTAACCGCCGTGGACACATCGATCGCTCCATATTTTATGCATCTTTAACCCGTTGAAAGTAAATCTCGCGCGTTAATAAGTCTCGGAAGTGTCGAGAATAACGATGTGCGATCGCCGGGGTGTATCGTGAAGACGTCATTTGTAAGTAATCTTTTCATTTCTCCTCACGATATATGTAAAGTGACCGAGTGAGATTTCCGAGTTCTGAATTCGGGACACTTCATAATATGTGAAGCGGCGGGTGGGGGGAACGGGATAAAAAGATCCGAAAATTATTTAATAATCATTAAAAATGATGACAAAATCGATGTCCTGAATAGCACTCGAAAAAATTCGGGACAAAGGGTGAAAAATCGGGACGTCTGCTCACCTTAGTTAATAACATATTTTTATATTGGGAAAAAATTTCTGTCAATTGAAAAAATACTTTTCCTAAAATATCTTTTAGGTATTTACTTTTCAGGTAATTATTTATTTTATTTAAACAAAAGAATTTAGACTTAAGTAAATATATTATTAACTACCAAATAAATATTTTTTATCTTTCAGATATTTCTTTTCCCACAGTAGTAACTACGTAACTATTCTTCTCGTAACTATTCAGTTTTAATTGCAATAAAATTTAAACTATGTACATTAATTCTGTTTCATTAAACTCCATTCATTCTAACTGTATACAGTGATTCTGCGTACGAAACTTGTATAGCTTTCACTCATATAGTCGCCACCATCATGCTTGTTTCCCTGAATCTGTATTCTTTACTGAAATGCTATACATATAACTGATGGTTCAGTTATAAGCGTAGCATTACAATCAGTAAAATCTTGCTGAAAGGATCAGCTAATAGTAGGGACTGTTCTCATTATATAGCTTGCAAACAGACAGTTTTATCACACGCAAAGCGCATGGAAGCCGTTAATTCCACTGTCACAAATGCAGTTGAATCGGTTTGAAAAGTTTGATTTAGAACAACATATAACGAATTTGTATACCATAGATTTTTGGCAGTGATTTTTGGGATGGTTCATCTCGATCCAGTCATTAATACCTCGAAATTTTCAGTAGTTGTTTGAAAAATAGTAGACAACTTTTTATTTAAGCTGATGTGTCCTATATCGCGTACTCCGTAGTGCACTATCGGATACCCAGCATACTTTTTGACGTTATGTCACGGAGTCCGTGAAGATTTGAGGGTTTAATTCGCGTCGATTATCGCTAATCGATCGAATATGGTCAAACAGTCGCGATAATGTGACATCTATTGTTGTGTTTGACGTGATTAATTATCTCGTATCACGGCTTAGCGCTGTACAATAATGATTTAATTATGTGCGTCGAGCGCGATTGCTTGTTTTATTGCTCGACGTGCGATGTTTTGACTTAACGAAAGTTGTTTGCACGCTAACGCGTTAATATTACGAACGAGGGATGGGACAGTCCCCGCGAGAAGGGAAGCCACAGAAACTGGTTCATTCGGTATTTCTGCTTTGATATGTTGACCCCCTTTCTCTCCTCTCCTCCCTCTCTTCGTAATGGACATCGCGCGGTAAAATTATAATAGAGCTTGGAACAGTGCAGGCGGAATAGCGCGGCGTACTGATCAATAATGCATTTGAAGATTGTGTGTGACACGATTAGCGGTATCGTTGTCAAATAGGAAATCCGTGATTATTTAGCGGCACACGCGCCGCGAACGAGTACGCACTGATTTATCTATAATTAATACCTGCAATTGCGAAGCACGTCGATCTCGTCGTCTCCGTTACCAAATTCAAATCCAAAGCTCGCGCCTCCCTTTCCCGGAGAGTTTACTGCTTCGCGAATACTCGCTACGTGATTTTACGATTGTGATGAAAATTGCTGCCTCGCGTAAAAAAAAAAAAGAAACAAATTTATATTCGGCAAATACTTCTCGTCCCTCGACGACAAAGTGTATCGACTGAATTTCGAATCGACTTCGATAGTCACGGGGGAGAAGTCGAATAGGCCGGATTAAAAAAATACTCGCGGACTTTCAATTTACGCGATAAAACGAGTTTACACGGAATATATATAGGAGGGATTACACGGTTCGATCTCTTCCCTGCCTCTCTCTCTCTCTCTCTCTCTCTCTCTTTCTCGTACCACTTCGGGATCGCCACGTCGATTTCACGCGCTCGAGCGGGCAGAGGCGCAATGATACGTCGGGAGAGAAAGATAAGCGAGAAGGGAGAAAGACAGAGAAAAGAAGCGCGAGGAGACGCCGTGAAGGAGGAGGACAGGATGGGAAGAATAAGAAGTAGAAGAAGAAGCGGCCCTTTAATTAAAGCACTCGCTCCAAATGAATCCTCTATTTACCTTCCGCCGACCAAAAGATAGTTCCCGTCCCTGAGCACCAGCCGAAAGTAGTCTGTGTGCGTCTCGTTTCCCGTAAACCTGAACACATCCTCCGCACCTAGAAAAGAAAAGCAAAGGAAGGGTTGTAGGGTTGGTTTTTGTTCTATCGCTTGAAAAGTGGAATTACCTTATTCATCTAATTAGCCGTCGGCGGCGGTCGACGTTGTTCTTTTGTGACAGCCGACGACGGAGGTTCTCCCCCCCACCGTCATTCCCATACCCCGCGCAGCGGCCGGAAGTCGACCTTAATAAGCGTAATAAGTTTCCTTTCGACCGCGGCGGGAGGGAGGAGGGGAAGAGAACCCGATGAACAATGCCGATCGATCATTAGCGAATCAGCCGTAAGCCGGCGAGCAATCTGCCTTAACTTGACGGTCTAACTAAAGGAGAAAGGCGCGTCTCTATTATCCGCTAATTATCCATCGGTTGTCGTTCGCAGGGCTCGCCTCACGATGTTGTTTCGCGCGCGAGCGCTTTTCAGCCGGCGCGGCGGCGTATCAACGTCGATCCTCGGATTAGAGCGTGGAAAAGAGCCGAATGGCAGCGACGCGGTGGCGTGCGCTGGTCGTAGCTTTTTTTTCCATTCGAACTCGCCGACCTCGCGCGCAAATCTCTCCTCTCTCTGCCTCTTTCTCTCTCTTTCTCACTCTCCTCACGTCGACCGCTCCGTGACAATGAAATAATCGCGTTTAATATCCGCAAAGCAAAACATTAATGGACGCTTCGCTAGGTCCCGAGTGTAATAAGCAGGAATTTCCGGGGCAATCAATGCCGATCCTAGCAAACTCGAATCCGGCGTATGCAATTCGGGTCACATATATAAACTGCACCGCCGCCGCCGAGTGGGTCGCACTGCAGCGCGGGACTTATTAAGCGCATCATATTAATGTGCCATATTGCATATGTGTGTATGTGAAATAGAGAGAAAGAGAAAGAGAGGGAGAGAAAATTAGGATAAGTTGAGCTTAACAAGTTTCTCGATACTTGCCGGTCTTTCTCTCTCTCTCTCTCTTTCTCTCTCTCTCTCTCTTTCGCGCGCGCGCGCTCGCGCGACGATCATAAAAAATGTGCGAAAAGCGACACAGAACTTCCCCAAGCGTTGGACCTAGTTTCCCGAAATATCGATATCGTTTATTTTTCGCGAGCCTGCATACACAGGATGACGGTGGGCTGGCGGGTCGCGAATATCGAGTATGTAGCGTCCCATGAGCTCTCGGGATCGCGACAGTGTCGGGCGAGATCAATATGTGTGTGAGAGAGAGAGAGAGAGAGAGAGAGAGAGAGAGAGAGAGAGAGAGAGGAAGGGAGAGGGGGAAGAGGAGAACTGGGGGGTTGCACAATTAAAAGAGCGATTATCGGACGATCCCATATCCCGATGTCACTCAACGCGGACGATCGCAGCCGCGTGCATCCGGTGGGCGTGATCCAGGTCAGAGATAGGGGGCGTACTTAGCGCATTCAATTGCGACGTGCGGCAAGAAACGAGACCGCAGGGCGGTCAAGCGGCATGAAACGCGTGGATATACTCGCGAGAAACTGCGGAAACCGGCCGCTCTGTTTGCGCGTCATGCGCTCCCCGCGCGAGAACGACCGACAAAAACACAGTCGTAAACCGCGCTGCGTGTAACCGCGCGTTAAAATCCAGCGCGGGCGCGGATGGACGGACGGACAGGCTCTCGTGAACGCGGGCTGGCTACTCACCGTGCCGAATTTCAATAACAATATACAGTTTGAAGAGAGCTGCAGCAACGAGCGGTTATAATCTGGCTGATCGCGCCATATATTTAAATGTGATTAAACGGCCGCAATCGAACCTCACTTATTGGAACGTGAGCGATAATTATTTGGGCTTTGCGCATTCGATTGCCACTCAATGTCAACCACCGTCGCCGCCACCATCACTACCATCGTCGCCGCCACCGCCGCCGCCGCCGCCACCGCCGCCGCTGCCGCGCCATCCTGTACCTGATTTATGTAATTTGAGTCTGCGAATGCACGCGCGTCGCAAGTAACCGCCGTTGGTTACCGACGATACCGCGCGACTACAAATATTTATTGACTAACATTCGGGACAGTCTACGAGTTCTCACGAGTTCAATGTTATTTTAATATTTGCCCGTCGGTACAACCCAGTTGCTACACGCATTCGTGTTTCGTGCTTATGTCGTGGTTTCGCTCAATACAGGTAAAAGTTCCAATGCCTGGATATGCATTTAACTTTGGGCGTTCGTATTATATTGATTTATAAATACAAATACTAATATTTAAACTTTTAACATAAAATATACATAAAATATACATAGGTCTGTCCATTTCAAGTATCTCAAAAATAGAAGATAGTGCTTACTAAAAGTTTTACGGTTTTGAAGAACACGCGACGTAGTGACAATGATTCTTTTGTGGAGATATGTAGGAAAACCACAAAACCATAAAACTTTTTTCTCTATTTCTCTATTTTTTTATTTTCTATTTTTCTACACTAAAAACAATTTCTCGATCACTAGGACAAAAGCACGTTTGCTCATTGGTGATCGTTAGACAAACAAATCGAACAGTTGCATATCATTTCTCATTATTTATCGTTCGTAATGTATAAACATATACATTGCTTGAGATACAAATTACATTTGTTCCCGTCTATTTAGGTCAGGTTAGTTACGTTTCCATTACGGAAGTGTTGCTTGGACCAGTAAATTGAAAGCAACAAATCATTTGTTTCCACTACGGGGCCATTTGCTGTCCCATATCAGCCAACCATTTATTGAGTACTTTATTGGTACTTTGTTAAATTAGCAACACTTTTTCTCTCAGCGTATACAGTCTAAAATAATGGAGATATTTTCGAGATGAATGGAATTATTATTCCATCCTGTATACATATTAATTAATACACACGTATATTCTACTATGTTGAAAGCTTGGATATTTGTATTTAAGTATGAAAGGAATAAAAACATATACTCAGAGTCGAGGCATTGACACTTTTATCTTACGTCCGCGGCCCCGTCATTAAAGTCATCGTCTTCATTCAAGTTCGGAGATTGATTATCATCGAAGCGTATCAATGCCAATCGATTCCGGTGACTGCGAGCGGTAGCCTTGTGTCCGGTGCATGCAATTTGGGTCAGAGATATAGCGACAACGGCGGCATTGCCAATGAGCGAGTGCAATACCGAAGCAGGCCATTATCGGAAGCATCATACGTCTTGCCGTAGAAACGAATTAACGTCATGTTGTCGGGCGTTACATTCGTCCCGTTTGACCGGGGCGGTGGCGTGGGAAGGGGGAAGAAGAAGCCAGATGGATGGGCATACAGCTGATATAGAGAGATCAGGCGAGCGGAGGGTGACGTGGGCACTGAGGGAGAGGTAGATAGACAGATAGATAGATAGATAGATAGATCGAGAGGCAAGGTGAGGGGGAGAGGAGGCATACTGGGCGGACGCGGGATGAATCGACGGCCGGCTAGATAGAGGCACCGCACCCCGTCCTCTTTCTCTGATTGCCTCCGAAATTAAACGGGCCGAGTGTGTCCCGTAACTCCCATCAACTCCCGGGTTCACTCGGTTATCGCTTTCCAAAATTAGCCGTTCGATTCCAATCGCGCGTCGCGCAAAGTTGAAGATCCCAGGGCGATTCGGCCAGGACGGATTAGGGATTTCGGGACTCGCGACAGATTCGCCGTTCCCGTCTGCTCGTCCACCACTGGGGACGAAAAAAAGCACGAGCAGATAATTGGTCCGGAGAGGAAAGATTTAATAAGGCTGTCCGACGCGCGGCGCTATTAAACGTCAGTGATTAAACTCGACTTTGGAAGCCTCGTATGGCACGTGCAGGGATCGATTGCATCGCGCGATTGATCGACTATTATCATTATTGTATTTTACGCGCAACTCGCCGTTGCTGTTGCTGTCTGACGAGACCTGTCTTTGCAATTGTCGTACAGAGACTCGTACAGAGAGTATTCGTCAACACTTGAACGCGCTGACGACACACGGAACTTTGCACTGTACATATAGTTTGCGTCGTGTACACACGGCGAATTTTTCTCCAAGATACTAACATTCATTCATCGAAGAATGTAGCCTTACCCGGCTAGAGCATACACTTACCTCAAAATTTCTTTTGCCGGTCCAAGTAGAAATCTAAATGTCACAGTTAAAATTTGTCGTTTTTTTTGTATCTGCCAGAAAATTGTCTGTGATACATTGGATTCTAGCAGTATTCTAAAGATATCTCTCTGCAGGTATATTAAGCTGTCGTTACGAATTATTAATCTGAATGAGCGGCACAGAGAGACTTTTCTGTAAAATTTTACAAATAGTTTTAGACACAAATTCTGTCTCTGTTATCTATATTGATCAAATGCAAAACAAATGCAATGTCGTAGTGTTTGCTAGTCATTTATCCATCTTAGCTAATTTCTCGTACAGAAAGGGAAAAATATCTGAGAAATAAAAATTATTTATTCGCTGGGCACTAATAACCAATATATTTACTTATGCGCTATTATAATATAAAATATTTTATAAATAAAAATATATATAAATTTTCTTAGAACCTTACACAGGAAAAAAATTTGGTTGAATCGATGAAATATCTGGTGAGATATGAACGAACTGGAATTACGATTATTAGAGTTCTGTTCGAGTTAACAAGATTCTGATTAACCAAAACTTGTAACTGTTCAACTTGAAACATAAATATTTTTTTATTTTTTAGATATTTTTTTCAGTGTAGTAGTTGCAAGAATATAGACAGTAAGATTTATCTTGTTCAGGAACATAGCAAATTTTTTAACAGCATTTCAGTTTCTAAAATATAAATAATGCATATGAAGTGAAAAGATAATAAATTACTGCAGAATGTCGATTTGTTTCCTGGCTTACAAAATCTTTTAATGAATTTCACTGTAAAATTCTCTCTGTGTACTTTCACACACGCTCATGATGGCCCGCGATCGCGTCGCTGGCAAAACATTCGCGACTTTTCCGCGCCTCGACGTCGACGTCCGTCCGAATACAACCACCAATCTTGATAAATCAAATTCGCTCGGCC